TTAAATAGTATTTCCTTCCTGGGAAGAACTACAATATTGGTGCAGAATGTAACATGTTTACAATTATTTTCACAATTCACCCCAAAATTAAAACTGTCAGAGTTGCCTCTCTGTGTTGATTGGCTCACTTCATGATGTGGTCTCCCTGGGCAGTGCCACCCTGCCAAGATTGCATTGTGATCATGAGGTCACCAGTTACCCTGAAGTGAGACCAGATCACAAGATTCTAAACAATTCCTGCTTAAGTCCTGTGAACTCCTTGAGGGCAGGGGTAGGATTTAGTCTTATTATTCAGGGATCTCGGACAGGTGAATGAAGAATGAATGGAAGATCCCGATTGTGAGGGCAATTCACAACCATTTGTGATTAGTGTTCCAGGGTTAAACACTGCATCCATCATTCTTCAAAAATGTGACAGAAGAGGAAGCCTAAAATGTATTTCCTCTTTATTTTTGCTTCTCAGAAAGTAATTAGAATGGTTTCAGCCACTTGTCCCTAATAGGTGTTTTTGTGAGAATTCAATGAAAGAATATATATAAAAGAACTTGAATTTTGTCTCACATCAAAATAATTTGAAAGATCTGTTTTTAAACACACAGAGAGCAATATCTTTTTTATTATCCACATGAAATGAGTTAAAATCCTCCCAGTATACTACAGAAGAGATCCTGTGCTTTTTAATCACAGAGTTGCTGAAATTTATTACATCCCTCATCTCCTTGACCAATCAAGTTTGTGAAGTAAAATGTTGATGGCTAAATGCATGACGTGTACCTGAAGCAAGTCACTTAACTTCTCAGAGCTTCAATTTCTTTATTGTAAAACAAGAGTATTATCTCTCACATAGAGATTTCCAAGATTGAATATAATAACATATAGGAAATACTTTTATAAACCTTCATGCACTGGGTAACTACATTTATTCTAATTGAAATATTCATTACTAATAATTGTGGTTAATAGTTAATATTGAATTCTGCCCAAAGAAAAAGGAATCGAGTCTTTTAACTTGTCAGGTTTTTTTGACCCACAGAAATTACATGCAAACACAGACACAAATTTAGTAGAATATTTGGCACACAAAACTACAGTATGTGGCAGACTGAATACTTTGAAAGCTGGTGGGAAAAGTTAGATTCTTTGCTGTTATCCCAGAAAGCCAAGTAAGTTCTTTTGCTAAATAACAATGGAATGATTCCACCAAAACTCATGTTAGGAGTGATTAGCTCATGAGGATGCTGTCTTCAAATGGATTAATGCAGTTATCAGGGGAATGAGTTAGCTATAGTAGGAGTGGGATCTTGGTAATAAAAAGGTGAGTTTGGCATAATTTCTTCTCTGTCTCAAGTGCTCATTTTCTCCTTCCACCCTTCTGCCATGGGATGCCAGTGCCATGCTCTTGGACTTCCCAGTCTCCAGGATCATGAGCCAAATAAACTTTTGTTCTTTATAAATTACCCACTCTATGGTATTCTGTTATAGCTGCAGAAGATAAAGTAATACAGAAAATTGATACTGAGAAGTTGGGCTGTTGCCATAAAAAATACTTGAAAATGTAGAAATGATGTTGGAACTGTGTAATAGATAGAGGCTGGAAGAATTTGGAGGAGCAGGCTACAGAAAGTCTGTTTTGTCATGAAAGGAGCATTAAGGGTGATTCTAGTTGAGAGCTCAGAAAAAAGGCTATAGGAAAAGTCTGACTCTTACTTAAATGGTGTGACAAGAATGTTGGTAGAAATTTGCACAGCACAATAAAGGCCATTCTGCTGAGGTACCAGACAGAAATGAGGAACAAGGTATTGGAAACTGGGGTAGAGATCATTCTTGTTCAAGTAATGAAAACCTTGTCTGAATTGTGTCCATGTCCTAGGACTTTATGGAATACAGACTATAAGAGGAATTAACCAAGATATTTATTGCGACATTGAGGTTGATGCTAGCTACTTTTAACTTCATAAAGTGAGATGTAAGGGGGCAAGAAATGACTTAAACATGGGATTTATAATTAAAAGAGAAACATAAAGGAAATATTTGAAAAATTTTCAAATTGGCTGTGTAGAAAAGCATGATCAGGAAAGTATACCAGATGTGTGGTCAAACAACCATTTGTTACAGCCTACTGCAGATGTAGCAACTAGGTGTCATTCATCGGGACAATGGGAGAAAGACACTGAAGGCATTTGAAAGATCCTGAGGCTGCCTCTTCCATCACAGGTTCAGAGTACTGGGAGGGCAGAATGGTTTCAGGGGACAGACCTGGCATAGGTGCTCTCCATGGGCCTACTACCCAGGATCACCTTGGGTCTCTGCTCCTCACATTCTGGGACAGCACATCTAGGGCCACCCAAACTGTGGCTTAAGTGGCCCCACATGCAGCTGGACCCATCACTCCTGAAGGTATAAGTGGTAAGTCTTGGTGAATTCATGTGGTGTTATGCTTCCAGGCTCACAAAATGAAAAAGCTGTGGGAGCATGCTTTCTCCTTTGATTTTGAATAGATCCTGTGGACCTCTTAGAGGCCCAGGCAAAGACTTGTCACAGGCACAAACCACTACAGAGGACGTCTAGTTGGGTTGTGCCTAGTGAAGTCATGGAAGTAGAGCCATCACTAAAACCATAGAGCTGTAGAACTACTGGTATGCAACTGCGGCCTGGAAAAGTTGCAGCCACAAGATTCCAACCAAAGAGAGCTGAGGAATAGGATAAGCCTAGCAAAGCCACAGGGGCTAGGCTACCTGAGACTTTGGGAGTGAAGTCATCCCCCAACCCCAGTGAGCCAAGGATGTGAAACATGGTGTGACAGGAACTTTACTCTGTCACCCAGGCTAGAGAGCAGTGGCATGTTCACGGCCACCCCAGCATCGACCTGCTGGGCTCAGACGATCTTTCTGCCTCAGCCTTCCAAGTAGCCAGAACTACAGGTGCATGCTACCACACCTGACTAACTTTTAAATTTATGTAGAGATGAAGTCTCACAAGGTTGCCCGGGCTATTCTTGAACCCATGGGCATAGGAAATTCTCTCACCTAGGCCTCCCAAAGTGCTACGATTACAGGCTTGAGCCATTACACCCAGCCTAGCTTTAAGATTTAATGTTGTTTGCCCTGATAGGCTTTAGACTTACTTGGAACTAATTACCCCTCTTCCTCCCCCCCCATTTCTCCCCTTTGAAATGGGAATGTCTATCCTAAGCTTGTTTCGTCACCTTGTGTTGGAAGTAGATAACTCTTTTGATTTCACAGGTTTACAGCTGCAGAAAAGTTGCCTCATAATGAATTGTGTGTAAGTCTCACCCATACCTGATTTAGATAAGACTCTGGACTTTGGACTTTTGAGCTAATGCTGGAATGAGTTTTGGACCTATTGGTATGAAATGAATGTATTTTGCATATTGTACAGAATATGAATTAGTGGGGGGAGGGCAAAAGTGTATCATTTGAATGTTCCCACCAAAACTCATGTTGAAGTTTAATTGCCATGGTAACAGTGTTGCAAGAATAGACATTTAAGAGGTGACAAGGCACTTCCTTAGATGCCTTCATGATGCAGAGGCCTCATGAATGGATTCATGCAGTTATTGAGGGAATGAGTTAAATCATGTGGTTGGACTCCTGATAAAAGGATGAGTTTGGTCCAATTTTCTCTCTGACTCGTGTGTTTGCTTTTGCCTTCTACCATTCTACCGTGGGATGACCTTTACCAGATGTCAGTGCCATGCTCTTTGACTTCCAAGCCTCCAGAAAGGTGGACCAAATGAGCTTGTAGTCTTCATAAATTACCTAGTCTGTGATGTTCTGTTACAGCAGCAGAAAATGGGCTAAGACAGCAATCAAAACCATAAAATATTTCTTTTCCACTGCACTGGCTTCCATTATCATTATTTTGTTAGAAAAGTTTGAGAATATTTCCTATTGTGTTTCTCCATTTTTGGCAACCACATTCTATTGTGGATCATTCTGGAGAATGTATATAATTTTCTTTTACTTATTACAGCAGGATTTAGTTGGGTGGGGCAGTGAAAGTCTCTGTGACATTGTAAAGTCTCACTGCTGAAAAAGTCCAGGAATGAAATTTCCATTGTTTACTAGAGTAACTTCCTAAGTCTTCTTTAAAATTATATCACACTTAGTAGTATTTAACCTCAAGCCAATAACCGTTGGTTTTTGAATAGTGTTGAGTTTGAGATACCTCAACTTAAAAGAATATAGGGAATTTAGATGGCTTTTGATTAAATTACAAAGATCATTGTGACGTTTTTTAAAAATTTAAAGCACAGTGATAATAAAAATAAGAAAATAATTATAAAATGAGAGTAAAAAGAAGAGTTTGCTTTCAGTAAACCAATGAATGGGTGAATTAGAGCATATGTAATAGGCAAATTCAATATCATATGTTCTTATGGACAAAAAGATATTCCTATTAAATATAAACTTATAATATCTAATCTAATGCCTAGGTAAATGTTAGCTTTTCCTTTTTAAGAATTATATGTACTAATTTTAAAGCAATCACTTATATATTTCAGAAACATCTGAAAAATATAATAACAATCATTTAATTTGTGGAACTTAATTACAGTGAATGTTTATGTCAGGAGTTGTGGTAGATTTTTATTCTTGTGGGCATGGTCAACAAATGAATACTATTTTCCAGAAGAACAAAAATAATTGTTTTTATTTTTGTATATTTTGGTCATAAATTGTTTTTAATGGCATGGAGTTGAATATAGAGAAATGTTTAATTTGAATTTAAAAATTGTTACTTATAAAATTCTCAAATTATATTTCAATGAACAATGATTTATTTCAGACCGAAGACATTTATTCAATGGTTGTAAAAGTAGCTATTGCTGTTGTAAATCAGAATAACAATCAGTGGTTATATGAGCCCAAATATTTGGTTGCTTTAACTTTTCACTATTATGACTGTAGAATTTGTTAATTTAGAAACATAAGATAATAGTAAGGTTTTGGACTTCGTAATCAGTTGGACCTGGTCTCAAATCCTGGCTGTCATGAACTTGCTGTGGTGCCAGGAAGTTCACCCAAATGCTGCTAATCTTACCCCACAAAATCATTGTGAGGATTACATATAATGCATATATTAAGTAATTAATAGAGTGCCCATTAAATAGTCGGTGTTCAATAAATATTAATTCCCTCCCTTTCTTTTTCCCACTAGTTCGCTTGTGTTTTTGATGGGTCATCCTTTATCCTGGATTGTATTGCAGGACACACTGTGGATGGATGGCTGCTGGAAACCCATTGCGATAGCCAGCTCTTCTTCAATACTTAAGGCTTTACCCTGGCATTGAGTAATGAGAATTTCGGTAAGAAAAAAATAGGTGAAAACAGCATATGGAATTTTCTTGAAAGGTCATTTGAATTTCAGATGATTCATAATAAGGTATATGGTGATTTTGCAAAGATCGTGGGCTATCACAGATATCTGTTCACACATGGTTTTTTTTTTTTAAAAAAACCTTGTTAATAATGTTGATATGCTCTTCATGTCATTGGAAAAGTATTATTTTACTTATCCCATTCCATTTTGTTCTTAAAATGTCTTTCTACTCAGTAGGTTGTGTAATCTTTGAGGGCAAGGTCTAGGTATCATTGATCACTTCAGTATAGATTAAATAAAACTCAGGCAGTTAGTGTAAGGTGGTGGCTAACAGTGTTTTCTGAGAATATAGAAGCTTTTTTTGTTTGTTGTTTTTGTTTTTAATTTTTTTATTTTAAAGATGTGGGGTACAATTCAGGGTTAGGTATGCAAATGTTCATTATGCAGGTACCCTTGGTGTAGAAGCTTTGGCAACATGTAAGAGACAGACATAAGTATCAAAATCCTGGGACATTCCAGGATAAATGATTTTCTTATATTACCACTAAAAATTATATGATGACTCTCAGGATGAACTACAGTACCTAGTTGGTTACATTTTTATCCAGTTTTCCTCCAAGTGATGTTAATATAAAATTAATGTTCATATATTTATGTGAAATGAATATAACCAGTGCATCTATGTTAGTAATGCATGTTATTAATCTCTGCTGTATAAAATATGTTGGTCTATTAAAAATGAGAGAAAGATGAAAAGGAGGTCAAAGATGTTATTTAAAAAGTGAGTAGTGACATTAGCATGCATGCAAGTTAGTAAATACATAAACTTTGTTCAACTATTTGTTAAGAATTTTGTACATAAGTAACAGAGTTAGAGGTAGATGAGAAAGCAGAAGAAAAGATATATTTTAGTGTTATTATTTTTGATAAAGAGCATTACTTGTTAAATTATGATAAATTTACATGTCTTGACTTAAACTATGATAAAATGTTATTTTAAATCTCACCTTTAACAAAAAAATATGTAACCATTTGTCTGTATTTTTCAGAAACCATATTTGGGAAGTACCTCCATCCAGTGCTACTTGTGTTTACTTCTAAACAGTCATTTTTTAACAGAGGCTGGCATTCGTGTCTTCATTTTGGGGTAATTTTATCTTTAGGCATAAATATCATAATGTTATTAGCCATGATGATTACTCTTGATTATTTTCTCTATTATATTTGCTTGTGTTTAGTTTGCTTATATCTCTAGGTACTTAGTATTTGGGGCATTATAGAAGGTAGATTATGGAGATTCAAAGGAGGTTTGGTAAACCCCTAACTAAGCAGTTCTGTATGCTGGTAGTATTCCAGATGAGCATAATATCCCCCAAATAAATTGGGCCTCTGGATATCTAAATATAATTGGAAGTAAACTACTCACTGGTATCCTACAGGCTTTCCACAGCAGTAAAAAGTAGCTACTTAGGATTTGCTCATATTACTTTTTAATCTATCCCTGGCACTGACTCTTCCTATCCTTTGATCCTTATCCTAGTTCAATGTAAAACATTTCTTTCTTTCTTTAAGCCTTTTGTTTTTCCTTCTAATAAAATTCATACTATTCAATGCCTATTAACTTTTTTCTTCTCTCTTAGATGAAGCCAATATAGCCAGTTGGCCCAAAGCACCTAGTATCTAGTTAAATACTCTGACTGTCAGTCCAGTTTTTCTCTACTAATGCCTTCATGGTATTGGGAACCATAGATTTGCACAGGTAAATCTTCATCATGAGACAGATTAGTGTTGACTACCATGCTTCTGTGCAAGATTCATCAGGGAGTGACTATTTTTCCTGGAGCTCTAAGAATCATTCCACAGTTACTTGGTCCATGTAATGTTGTTCTCTGGATATTAAACTTTGATTTTACCAAAGTAAATATATGATCATTCAGCCTAGATGGGGCCAAAGTCTGTAATGCTTATAAAGAAAGCTGCTGCAAACATAGTCCAAGTGTGGATAGCATGAAAAGTCCGTGTTCAGGAGTTGGAAAGAACATTTACTGTCAAAGTCATTCCACCAAAATGATTACTACTTACTTGAAGAATTTTATTAGACTTAATAACTATTTATTAGACTTAATAACTTAGCCTACTAATTTTAACTATTTATTAGACTTAAAACGAGTAATTCATTCCAAAACACTTATTGAGCACTGCTATGCATCTGAAATAAGCTCTTTTTATTTCATTGTGATAAATTGCACCAGGTTATTTGTAAATTTTGCCTCCAATTAGACTTTTCTTTAATTCAGGTTGGTCAGGCCTTGAGTTATGCTAAAGCATCAGATCATGCTATATGCTCAGTGTTTATGCTCATCTACAAAGCGGTTGAATGCACAGAAGCAAGGATAACACTGACATTTTCACTGGTCAGAATAAAAAGTGATTGACCGTTCTTTTGCTTATAGTATTCATCAAGACAATATTATGCTCATTCAAGATACTTTGCTCTATGGTTTTTCTTCCAGCTGTGTCAGTGTAGGTCTTCCTAAAACAGAGGCCAACTGGCATCATGTAATAAGTGATTTGAAAACAATTGAAGATCTTATTCAAGTGAGTATTCACCTTTCTATAAAATACTTGGTAGAAATGCTATGGAGTGTATCTCTTCTTGTGTTTTTCCTCTCAATTCTAATGGAATCACTTAAAACAATATTATTTTTTGTAAAGTATTTGCTTTACTGGTTTTAGACTAATTATCTTTAAAATTAAACTTAAAGCTGAAGAGCTATTGTCTGCACAGGTCATGGATTCCCTTCCTCTATCTAGAGAAACCAAATAACTTGGTGGCACTACAAGGCCAATGGCTTGATTCAGGGAAGAGCTCTCTCACTTTCCACCTAGAGAGATCAGGTGACCTGACCTGAAAGAAGTGCTCTCTGTCTCAGTAAGTGACACCAGATGGGAGCCCCCATGGCACCAAGCATACCAAAACAGCACCACAAAAGTTCTGTCTTTGAAATCACAGTGTACAAAATAATGTTAGAACTTGTATGCTAAATCCAAACAGGCTGGCTATGTGTTAAAATAGAAGATTTAAATAGGATCAGAGTTTCACCACATATTAGCCACAATTCCAAAACACAGCTGAAAATCACTTATCATACCAAGAAGCAGGAAAATTGCAACTAGAATGATAAAATACATCAACAGACTCCAAAGCTGAGATAGGTCAGATGCTGGAATTAGCTGACATGGATTTGAAAGCAGCCAATATTTAAAACATACTTCAAAAAGAAATTGCAACTACCCTTGAAAAAAAGTTTTTAAAGCCTTAACAAAGAATTAGAAGATATAAAAGAAACTAAATGGGAATCCTAGAACTGAAAAATATAATAACTAAAATGCAAAACAAACTGGAAAGACTCATTAGTAAAACGAATATAATAGAAGAAAGACAGTTGACTTGAAGATAAAATATTAGAAAGAAAACTGTCTGGGGGTGGGGAACACCTATCTTGAGGACAGTAACAAAAGATCCAGCATTCCTATTATCAGCATTCTAGAGTAAGAAGAGATTGAGAATACACCAAGTAAAAGATAGGAAATTGGCTGAGTTAATGACAGAGCACAACCTATCTAGGCTATCTATAGGAAACTCACTTCAAGTACTGTGACACAGGTAAGTTGAAATTTAAAAGGCAGAAAAAGATATACCATACTAAAGTTGAACAGTGTCCCCCCCAAATGTCATGTCCACTTAGAGCTTTATTTGGAAATAAGCATATTTGCAGGTATAACTAGTGAAGTTAAGGTGGGATTTACTGGAATGGGGTGAGCCTAAATCCAATGAATAGTGTGTTTATTAGAAAAGGAAAGGACAAAGATAAACACACTAGGAAGAAAATCATTTAAAGATAGAGGCAGAAATCACAATGATTCTGCTATAAGCCAAGGGGGACTAGCAATTGCAAGGATCCATCCGAAGCTTGGGAGAGGCAAGAAAGAATTCTCTTCCTGGGTCTTCAGAAGGAACATGGCTCTGCCAACATCATGATTTTGGACTTCCATTCTCCTGAACTGTGAATGAATAAATTTCTGTTGTTTTAAACCACCCATTTTGTGGTACTTTGTTGCAGCTAGCTCTAGGAAACTGATACACATGCACACATTAATTTAGAAGCCAGAAGAACTGGCTATATTAATTATCAGATAAAGTAGACTTCTCAGAAAATAAAGTTATTAGAGTCAAAAAGACCATTACATAATGGTAAAAATAAATCCACAAGGAAAACATAATAATCCTAAATGTATACATGCCAAACAACAAAGCCTCAAAATTCATGAATCAAAAAGTAATAAAGGTGAGAAGAGAAATAGACAAATCCACAATTACATCTGAGGATGTAACCTCCTCCTTCTCAGTAACTAACAGAACCACTAGACAGAAAATCAGAAAAGTGTATAAATGAACACAACACAACCAACCCATGGGATCTAGTTTAATACACAGAGCAGTCCCCCAACAACAGCTAAACATACTTTCTTTTTTGAGTACCCATGGAACAGTTATCAAAATTGAACAATGTCCAGAGCCATAAAACAAACCTCAAAAAACTTTATCAAACCTTGAATCATGCAAAATGTGTTCTCCGGCTACGGTGGAATAAAACTACAAATCAATGACATATATACAATAGGAAATTCTCTAAACACTTGGAAATTAAATAATACCCTTCTAAATAACTCACGGCTAAAGAGTTTCTTTAGAAGAGGGATTAAGATATAGATACACAGAGAGTAGATGGTCATCTATAAGGAGAGAGGTTTCAGAAGAAAACAACCCTGCTGACACCCTGATCTCACACTTCTAGCTTTCAGAATTGTGAGAAAATAAGTTTCTGTTTTTTAAAACACTCAATCAGTGGTACTTTATTTGCCACAGTGTGTGTGTGCACACTTCTGTGCACAGTTTCATGTGATTTTATCACATGTAGATTTACTTCACCACCACCACAGTTAGAATATATAATAGTTCCATAACCACAATGATTTTCCTGCTATTCTTTTATAGTTAAACACATTTTACACATTAATATAATTGGCAGACTAATATCACACCTAATCAAGATAAAATGTATCAGTGAAGTAGAAATAAAGAACTTCCTGTACTTGATATAAAGCAGGTACAAAAAATCCAGAGCTGCCATACTTGGTGGCAGAGTGCAAGACTGAATGTTTTTCCCATAGGATTAGAAACTAGGCAAGGCTGTCTCCTCTCACCACTTTTATTCAGCTGTAACCTCGTAAAGTCCCTACCTCCCAATGCTGCTGTACTGGGGATTCAGTTTCAAAATGAATGTTGAAGAGGACAACCATTTAAACCACAGCAATAGCACTGGGAATTTAGCCAAATTAATACAGCAAGAAAAAAAAAAGGCATGAGGCAAGAAAAGTAAATAAAAGACTTGCAGATTGGAAAGGAAAATTATAAATCACCACAATTTTTCAGGGGAAGAAAATGCTAAAAAGAATGGGTGTATTTATTTAGAAAATAATGCTAGCTAAAACCACAGTGATATATTGTCATGCAGCTGTAATAATGTAAGAAATAGAAATAGTGATAATGCTGAAGAAATAGAAAACAATGGTGATAATGCTGGCAATGATGTAGAGAAAGTAGATCATTCATACTTTGCTAGTGAGAAAGCACAATGGTACAGTGCCTCTAGAAAATAGTTTGGCAGTTTCCAAAAAAACAAAATATGCGTTTGGCACACAATCCAATAATTGCATTCTTGGACATTTATCCCAAAGAAATTAAAAGTTATATTTACACGAAAAATACACATGAATGTTCACAGATTTTTTTTTTCATAATTGCTAAAAAACTGAAACAGAATGTGCTTCAGAAGGTAAATACTGGAACAAGCTGTGGTATGCCATATCATGGGAATCTACTGATCAATAAAAAGGAACAAACTAGTGATACACACAAGTTAGCTGGATTGCTAGGGTATTATGCTGTATAAAAAAAAAATCAATCTTCGTAAACAAACTGTGGTACACTCATTCAATGGAATATTATTCAGTGATAAAAAGAAATAAGCTATCAAACCATGAAAAGAAATGGAGAAAACATGAAAACATATTGCTAGGTAAAATAAGCCAATCTCAAAAGACTTCACACTACGTAATCCCAACTATATGACATTGTGGAAAAGGCAAACTATGGAAACGACAAAATGATCAGTGGTTGCCAGAGGTTTGGAGGGAGAGAGGGATAGCCAGGCAGAGTGGAGACAATTTTTAAGGCTGTAAAACTAGTTTTGTATGCTACTGCATGTTATTACACAGTTGTCAAAATCCATACAATATACAACACAAAACATGAGCCCTAATATTTCAGAGACTTTAGAGCATAATAATGTACCAATACTGACTCATAAGTTATAACAAACATACCTTACTAATGAAAGATATTAACAATAGAGGAAACTGAGGTGGGAAGCAGGGGATAAATAAGAACTCTGTACTTTCTGCTCATCTTTCTGTAAGCCTCCACTGCTCATAAAATGTCTGTTAACTATTTTTAAAGCTAATTTCAAATACATACTATATGATTTCATTTATATAATATTCTTTGAAATGACAAAAATCATAGGAATTGAGAACAGAGTCGCGGTTGCCCAAGGTTAGAGAGGCTGAGTGGTAGGGTGGGACTGCATGGAGAAGAAAATGGTGTTTGACTATAAAAGAATAGCAGGAACATTCTTGTGGGAATGGAACTATTTTGCATCTTAACTGTGGTGGTGGTGATGTAAATCTACTTGTGATAAAACGAAACTGCACGCACATGCATGTGCACACACTATTACAAATAAAACATGAAACTTGAACAAGGTGAGAGGCTTGTATTAATTCTAATTTCCTGGTTGTGATATTGTACCATGATTTTGCAAGGTATTACTATCGAAATAAACTTGGTGAAGGATACACAGGATCTTTCTGCATTTTCTCTTACAATTTCATATAATCTAAAATTATCTCCAAATTTTAAAAAATTAATTTAAAAAACTTAATTTACTGTTTTTGGTAGCTTTGTTCTCATCACATCTAAAGGAGGACATGATTTTTTTATACTGTCTAATTTTGCTTCCTTTCAGTCTATACATATCGATGCTACTTTATATACTGAAAGTGATGTTCATGTGAGTATAGTTGGTTTTTTATTGATATTTTTCTAGTGTTCAAAGGTGCATGAAGTATATTTTTATAGCTGACATTTGTGTAATTTTAAAATCTAATGTTTGGCATGTTCTTTTAATATATGATCAATGAGTTTTATAAGTAATTGTTGAGGTGGGATTTGGGGACACGGAATTACATAAATGCTATTTTTGTAAAGGTGCCAAATCAAAATATATAAAAGCCTTTTCCATCAATGTCAAATAAAATGCATTATACATTTTGGTGATGCTGTTGGATCATGATGCAATTAGATGCAAGAATCAGGTCAACTGATTCAATTTAAAAGTATCCAACATATTCGTTATTTCCAATACTGTAATATATCACCATATCCAATCATATTTTCTATACATTACTCAAAGGCACCCATTTTCCTAGATATCTGTATTTGTCAGAAAAAAATATTCTGACTAATTATTCTCTATGTGAGCAAGAAACATAACCCATAAAATGTATCAGAATTCAAAGATGATCTTAAACTTGTTTTATTAATACATTGACATTTCTTAGGACATGCGGGATTTCAGTCACATCTGTAGTCCTTTACTTGATGATTATTACTAAAACCAAGAAATGGACCCTCAACTTCTCATAAGAAACAAACTCTGTGTCCCTCTCTTTCTTACTCCTCAATCAGAACTTCTCTGAAGTAGATAACTTTCTAAATATTGGAAAGAAGCCATAGCCAAAAACTAGGAAAACAAACAAATATTCATCCACCACTTGGGTAGTGCTGCTGCACATAGAAATTGTCTCCCTTTTCTAGCTCCAGCATGTTTTCTAAAAGATTTTCTCCATTTTTTTTCAAAGCAGAAAGCAGTCAACCACAACCTTCAACATCCTGAGACTGCTTTTTGCACAAGAAGATCACCTAGCAGCTCATAAGTTAAAGAAAGAGCCTGAGATTGAAAATCAGATTTAAATACTGACTGAACTACTTTTTACTTGTATTGCCTTAAAAATCACTACACATTTCTGAACCTTTTTTTTTTTTTTAATTGCTAACATGGTGACAATATTTACCTTTCAGTCTTTTTTTGTTTTTTGGTTTTTTTTGAGTTGGAGTCTCACTCAGTCGCCCAGACTGGAGTACAGTGGCCGCTCCCGGCCACTGCAGCCTCGACCTCCTGGGCCCTGGCGATCCCTCCACCTCAGCCTTCCAAGTAGCTGGAACTACAGGCGCGCGCTACCACGCCTGGCTAAGTTTTTGATTTATTGTAGAGATGAGGTCTCGCCAAGTTGCCCAGGTGGGTCTCGAATCCTGAGGCTCAGGCAATCCACTCACCTCAGCCTCCCAAAGGCGCGAGATTACAGGCTGAGCCACCGAGCCCAGTTATCTTTCAGTCTTAAGCAGCTGCTATGGGAGAGGGGGTGGTAAGGAGTATTACTAGTGCCGGGCACATGAGTGCACTTCTTCATTTATTCATCCATTCAGTAAGCATTTGTTAAGTGCTTACAGGGTCCCAAGTTCTGTGCAAGCACTGGGGATACAAAGTAATGGTCAAATCTCCAGATATTTCTTAATGTTATTTCAAGTTTGAGTTTTTGTTAAGATAACTGTTGTGCAAAATGTATTTTTGTGACACACAAAAGATCCCTTTCTGACTTGGCCAGCTTGTGAGTGGGCTCCATCCCTGCTTTGATTTTTCTAATAAATTCCTTAGAGCCATTTCTCCCTTTGGAACTTGCAGAAATAGTATGATTAGTAACTTCTATTATTTAAAATGTAAACATTACATTCTGATTCTGAAAATGTTTACACATGTGCTATCTATATTGATGTTTTGAGAGTCTCAGATCAGTAACGCCACCCTTTCCACAGAAGAAATATGCTTTCAAAAAAAGTGACCTGCTTTTTTCCACATTTTCTAATTCCATGTTCATTCCTCTGTATAATATTGCCATACTTGATTGTGTTTTGTCATTTGTTTTGGTTTCGATTTCAAAGTAAAAAGAAAAAAAATGAATTGCTTCCATGTACATTTCCTTAAGTGTGTTGTGTATCTTTATAAAAATTTGGATTGACTTTTAAAAAATCAAAATTACTTCAATATAAAAAAATGATAATTTTTTTCAAAATTGTTCTTTGTAACTCTTAATTTTAGCCCAATTGCAAAGTCACAGCAATGAAGTGCTTTCTCCTGGAGTTACAAGTTATTTCACATGAGTCCAGAAATACATCTATGACTGAAACAGTAGAAAACCTTATCATCCTAGCAAACAGCAGCTTATCTTCTAATGGGGTGAGTTATCCAATAGTCATGCAGAGTTGTATTTAATGGTTTGGACTTGATTTGGAGAAGTAATTCATGAAAAAGCTGATTCTCTAGGGGCCACTCTTGAGAAAGAGTTCAGTCCCAGCAGGGTGGCATCCAAAAGTGGCACCATCTCTGGCATGCACACAATTCTAACCCGTTCATTGGTTTATTCAGTAAACAGACATTTATAGAATAATGCCAGGCAGTGTGTTTCAGTCCTAGGCTTTAGTTGTGAGCCAAATGGGTCACTGACCTCCAGGTGTTTGTCATCACGTACAGTGGATAGATATTAATCTAATTACATGCTCAGGTGTATATCAATAATTGTAACTCATAATAATTGGGTTATTACTGTGTGTCAGTCACTATTCCTTGAGCTTTAAATTGATAATCTATTTACTCCTCACAATAAATCTGTGATATAGTTATTGTCATTTAAATTTGAAGATTAAAGAAATTGGAGCACCAAGAGCTTGAATTTCTTGCTCCAATTCATGTAGCTAGTAAAATGTAGAGTCGTGATTCTTATCCAGGCATTCTCACTGCAGAGTCTGTACTCTTATCTCATGAGAAGATAAACACTAACAAAAAGATGACTATCAAACAATGTAATAATTTGAGTATAATCTGGGACATTCCAGGCAACTTGAGTAGAAGGTTCCAGGATAGCATATTGTAGGAACTTCCAAGATAGGCTGGGGGATCCAGTGGGCAAATGTCCTGAAGTGCAATAACAATTAAGGTGTTCATGGCAAAACTCTAGTGGTCAAAGTAAGGTGGAGAGAAAGAAGTTTTGTAAACAAAGAAAGCATCATAAAATTAGTTTATTTGGTAAATACTTTTTAGTTCTCAGGATACAGTATGAAAAAAACACCCACGATCCTTGTTGTTAAGGAAGAAGGAAACAAGTGAACCAATCGGTCAGCAAGTGGATAATAAGTTGGGTAGGTAGGTAGGTAGTTTTTAAGTCCAGTGGCAAAAACGAGGCAGGTGAGATGGATGAGGCTTAGGTAATAAGTTGTCATTTGACAAAGGTATGCGGGAATGAGTCTTCAGAATACCTAGGGGAATATGTTCAGGCAGAGACAATTGAAAGTGCAAAAACCCTGAGTTCATGTGACTGGACTCCTGAAAATGCCAGGCTGCTTTAGGTCTTTGCATACGTGTCAACTTCTCAGTGATGTCACCTATTTATAGTGACAATCCCTTCACTGCTCGAGCACTCCCCGTCCCCTTCTCTGGCATATCATATATTTTACTTAAAGGGTATTGTCTTGTTTCCCTTACAAGAATATCAGCTTAAAAGGGATAGATATTTTGGATTTTTTGTTTGTTTGTTTTTAGTGCTATATCCCAATTGCCCGAACAATGCTTCACATATACCAAATACTCTCTATATTTATGGAATTGATTTATTACGGTTAAATACTTTTGTGATATAGTAATTGTCATCTTATCAATGGAAAGAATGAGTCATGAAACAGAATACTCATGGCATGTCAGTGACACACTGTTTAATGTGCTTGTTGATAGTCACCCTCATCATGACCTGGTGTGGCATATGAACTGGAATGACCAGGCAGGTCTGCAAAGTCAGAAGTCCTGGATGTGAAGAATTTCAGTTGATTATATCATCTGAGATGAGTCACTTAATATCTCTGCCTTCCTATCTGACATGATTATTTTCAGGATCAAATAGGATAGCATTATATAAAGTATGACCATGCTTGGAATAAGAGTATGTGCTTGATAAATACTGGCCAATCTGAACTCCAATTGCTTAATCGACGTAAAACCTAATTTTCATTTTCGCTGGCACAGCCTTCATGGTTCAGATGATCTTTCAAAAGTTTATTCTTGATTGCTACATCTGGAATAGTGTGCTTATCCATGAGACTGTGTTTGAATTACAATAATTTGTGATATTCAACTAAATGGATCAATTTAACCAATAGATGATTACTGTGGGCCAGGCACTATGCTAAATGCTAGGGAAAAGAAATACATGACTTTTCCCTACTGGAAAACAGGTTAGAGAATAGTAGTATAAAAAATGTAAAACTTCATCATTGAATACTGTACATGAGGAATTGTGAGAAAGGTCCAAAAAGGACTTTTGAGATGTAAAGACAGAATAGTGAACACAGCCCCAGGAGCTCAGGGGTTCAGAGAAGCCTCCCTAAAGGAGGCAGCACCTGAATAAACTTAAGTGTAAGTAGCAGCCGCTGAAATAGAAAGAATGTAACAGAGAGAAAAGTAAAGACAGAGAGGCTTCTAAGGTCATGCTGTGCATGGGAACGAAAGGCAGGGGCTCACATAGTGTTCCTGGAGCATAACATTGAGGCAGTGGGGAAAGGTGAAAGAAATAGGTAAGCAACAGCTCATGGAGGGTGTTTGTGCTCTGTAGGGAGGCATGGACTTTTTGCTAGAGGTAGATGATAAGAAACCATTGACAGGTTCTACGCAGGAAGTCCGTGGTCTGAAAGACATGGCTTATTTTTTTCAATGTCCTTAATTCATTGTAGGAAAAATAAGCCCATATCAAATCTCCCAGTTCTCTTTTCTCATAGTTCTTCCAAATATGATGCTAATGTGCCAAAGTTTTCTTGTCTCAAGATCTCACCATATTTTTTAAATGATGTGATAGCCCCATGAATGAAGTATATTACTTGCCAATGTAATCCTTTCTTTTCATTTGGCAGAATATAACAGAATCTGGATGCAAAGAATGTGAGGAATTGGAGGAAAAAAACATTAAGGAATTTTTGCAGAGTTTTATACACATTGTGCAAATGTTCATCAACACTTCTTAATTGAAATTGATGATTTCCAGCATTTCTAATAATAATATCTTCCTGCTGCTTAGAGACAAAAAACCCCTCAGCATTTCAAATGTGCTGCCAACACAAGTGTTTCTATCGAGAAGATGATCAGGACCTTGGGTCAGATGAACTCTTAGAAATTAAGGCAGAAAAATTGTTGAGCAACAGTGACTATGGACCTCTTTGAGACTTATTTTTCACATTTATTTTTAATTTATTATCAAAATTTTGCATATTTGTTACAAAATATAAAATGTTGGATTAAAATATGTATATGTTTTATCATTTGAAATTGCACTGATATTTTACCTCTTTGAGGAAAACAGCATTTGTTTAAAGGTGATTAAGTTATGTGACAAGTGGTGGGTTGGGTACCAATGGTGCAGGTCACCTGCTATGCAGGTGTGCACCTGCCAGTGTAGTTACACTGACTACCATCCTTCCTTCATTTCTAAATTGGATGTAGCACCCAGAGGAAGAATTGTCTACAAATGAGGAAAAGAGGAACTATGTGTGAACCCTGTGCTTGAATCTGTAATTTAGTTATTGACATATAAAGCACCTGTTGTTAAAGAAAGAAAGAAGAGATACCTGACATATAATGTGTACTTGTAAATCTTATGTGGTAGTGGCAATAATAAACCCTCCGTCATAGACAGAATGTAATAAATCTTCACTGATAGATAGAATGGTGTGTAGAAAAGTAATTGTGATGATTATATTTCATGCTTTCCCAAGTAAAGATATTTTATTTTCACAGTCTTTTTTCTATGTTTGTAGAACTAAAAACAAAAAACAAAAAACTGCTGATTGGCTGGAGCTAACATTATCTGACAGAAAATATTTGTTTATATATTTTTTACACTCTACTGTCTAAAATTAACAGGTTCTCTTCTAATGGAAGTATAAGTAAGATGAAACATTCTTGTTTCGTCACAAATTTCTTTCAATCTGACTCATGTCTGGCAGTCTTCACTGAGTGATGGTGGGGTAGGAAATGGTTTCCTAGGAATTTTATTTATCTCCATTCCACGGTTCAAATTGGTCCTCTGTCGAAACACCCTTTTATCACCCAGTGCTCCATCCATGCTTATGTGTCTCATTGCTCTAGTCAAACTTATAAATATCTTACAAGATAGTTTTGGAGAAACCTATACCTAGATGACTTTCAAGGAGTCATGTGTTGACTCTCAGTTTGTTTTCTAATTTCAGTCTCAACAAATAGTATTTGGCAGCCACACTTTGGGCTGGGATTGTGGCAGTTTATTTTTTTCATTTGAGATGGGTTTTTAAAAATCTATCCATTATTTTTGTTTCTGTTTCTCTAGCTTTTTTTTTTTTGAGTTGAAGTCTCACTCTGTTGGCCAGGCTGGAATGCAGTTGAACACTCATGGCCACCCGAGCATCAACCCCCGGGACACTAGTGATCCTTCTGTCTGAGCCTTCCAAATATTCGGATCTACAGGTGCATACTACCACATCTGGCTAATTTTTAAATTTTATTGTGAAAGATGAGGTCTCACCATGTTGCCTAGGCTGGTCTTGAATCCACGGACTAAGGCAATCCATAGACAGATTTATTACATTCTGTCTATGACGGAGAGTTTATTAATGCCACTCCCACATAAGATGGCCTCCCAAACTGCTGGGATTAAAGGCTGTCTAGCTTTTCTATTAATAGAGTAGGAAAAATGCATCATTTTCACCCTGCTTCCAATCCAATCCTTAAATAAAAGTTAGTCTTCCTCCAGTGCAGCAAGGGAAGAAAAATTATGTCAATCACATTACAAATCATATTTTGTGGTGGCTAATAATTCATTTTTACATAGGCACACAAGTGGGTTTAAAATTTGGAATTTTCCAGGGCTCTAAATAGAATTCTTATGTTAATTATTTAATATGAATTACTTCAGTTGATCTTAGGAAACTCAAGTCATAGATCTGCAACTTCTTTAACATACTCTTAGTGAACTGAAGAAAACAAATAATCTTGTAAAACAACCTAAATTTTATTTTTCAGGTTTGTACTCTTTTCTTAGAGTAGCATATACAAGGGAGCAAAGGGTAAAAAAACCACCCATAGAGTACTATACTTGTACTCATAACAAAATCAGTCTTTCATTTGTGTTCCAAAATCTGGCCTGCTTCACCCATCTTTCTCAATTAACTAACTCAATGTCATTTGCCTAGAGGACACCGTGTTTATGTCTCACTTACTGCCCTAAATTCTGAAAATATTTGCCTTATATTGCATACAATAAAGAAGGTACAAAACAGTATCCTTAGAAACTGTATACTTTCCCTTACTCAACAGTAAGGGTAAGTCTAATAAAAACTAAGTCTACAGTCCAAAGTCATATTGATGAATTATATGTTTGCCTTTTCTTAATTTCGGGAAAGAAAAAGATATGGAGAAAATATTATCTCTACCCTCTCCCTGGCAATGAACCAAAAGCAGTAGAAAGCAGAGAACATGGAAATGCAAACGAAATCAACATATAATTTTTGAGCTTAGAGAATTTTAAAACTTAATCACAAGTCTAGCTTTATATACTTTTATTCTTTATCTTCGAAGAATGAAACACAGAATCATTTTGTTTTGCTGCTGCTGCTGTTATTAAATGGGGCTTATATGTTTTGATGTGTTACCGTTTATGGCCATCAAATTCACTAACTTGCAACTTCAAACCAACATATGTAATATGAAAATCAGGTAACCTGGTTGATTTTTCTCCTCTCCCCTCACTCAACACAAAAACACTGTGTTACTGTAAGATCTCTGCACTCCTTTATGAGTGAGTCATGGTTAACATATGCATGCCATGTATAAATATTTTGCTCAGAGAAAATCTCATTTCCATATGTTTCTGAATGTGTCTGATGACTGAATTGTGTCCTCACTAAGGAATTTATTTTGCAAAGTAAACTTTAGCTTCATTTAAAAAGTCCCCTAATTGTAACTGTATAATCTATCTGATGCAGCATAAAAGAAATTAATGAATCATTAATAAAAAGCCCTGATTTTGTCCAATATTTTACTTCAATCCTGGATTTCAAATTAAGTATTAGGGAAGTTGAAGAGAAGGTTATTAGACAAGAAAAATTAAACATTCTACATTTAGTTTTTATAAACAGTGTCAACACATTTAGAATATTGTCATCACAGAATCTAATGTCATCCTATAGATTTTTTGCCTTTAGCATTATTATCACTGTTTTCTTTCATTAAGAAATTCAGTCCTTTAGTCATATTGAAATCATACTTATTTAAAACCTACTGTGTGTGAACATTACATAAGGTGCTACAACTACAGCTGTGAATCTGTGAATAAGAAAGCCAAAGTCTGAGCCCTCATGGAGTCTACACTGTAGCAGAAGAGTCAATTATTAAACTAATCACTCCTATGCTCATTCAATTACTGCCAATTCTATGAAAGGCACCAGGGGAACATATAAAAGTAGGATTTGATTCATTCAGGCATTGGAAAGAGCTTTTTTGAGAAAGTGGTATAGGAACTTAGCTATAAACGATGCATACGACTTATCTGAGGGCAAGCAGAAAGAGTCAGAGAAACAGCCTACCAAAACCTTCAGTTAGAAAAGATCACGGACGTTCATAGAATAGAAGGATGGTCACACTGGCAAGGCTGAGGGAAAGAACTGAAAGATGAAATTGGTAAGAAAAGTATCAATTTTTCATGGACTCTAGTAAGAATTTTGCTGCATGACTCAAAACAAATGGAATTCTTACTCTGGCATGTATAAAAATATAGAATGTATCATTTTACTGTCAAAAAAGAAGTCAAAAATCTCTTTACTACTAAGTAACAGGTTAATAAAATAATTTCTAATAGGAGCATCTTACTTGGGCCTTATTGCAGTCACTTAACAAATTTCTTGTAACTCATAATGAAGATCAACATCAGCAATTGATTAGTTGTTCACTGCCCAAAACAGCAAACCTGTTTATAGGTATATGTAATTTGAGAGACTGACGTCATGAATATTAACACAAATCCAGAACTGGGAAGGAGGGCAGAGCAAGATGATAGAAGAGAGCTCTCCAGAGATTGCCCACCCCCTCTTTAACATCAATTTGCACAACTATCTACACACCAAAATACCTTCATACAAGTGAAGGAAACCAAGTGAGAGATCACTGTACCTGGATATAGCATAATAAGAAAAGATTAAAGAAGAGTAGGGAGAACAGTTTTATATTAGCCACATCACCCCTCCTCCACCCTAGGCAGCATCATGTAGAGAGAAAAGCATCCATTTGGGAGAAAGAGAAGAACGTGAACATAGAATTTTCTTTTGATCCCTGACATCAAAGCCATTCCAAATAAGAGTACCATGTGTTATAATCAACCTGTTAAAGATAAAAGTCAAAGAGAGTATCCTGAGAGCAGCAAGAGAAAAGACACAAATAACATAGAAGAGATTTTTAGCAAACCTAGCCGTAGACTTCTCCATAGAAAACTTACAGGCCAGGAGGAAGTGAGATGATATAGTCAAAGTTCTGAAGAAAAAACGTCACCCAAGAATACCGTATTCAGCAAAGCTACCCTTCAGAAAGAAAGGAAATCTAAAAACTTTCCCAAATATGCAAAAGTCGAGGAAGTTCATCACTAGTAGACATATCTTACAGGAAATGCTAAAAGGAATCCTCAAGCTGAAAACAAAGGATGCTAATCAGTAACAAAAACATCTGAAAGTATACAACTTACTGGTAAAAGTAAGTATTCAATCAAATTTAAACTGCTTATAATGTTGGTGCATAAATCACCTATATCTTTAGTATGAAGGTATGAAGGTTAAAATACAAAACTTGTAAAATAATAACTACAATTATTTGTTAAGGACTATGCAATTTTAAAATACATAAATTTTGTTATCAAAAATTGAAAATGTGGTGTTGAGGGAGTTAAAAATATAGAGTTCTGTGGGGTTTCTGATGATCAAAGGTAAGTTGTTATCAGCTTAAAAAAAGGTTTTTTTGGTCAACTTTATGGTAACCATGAAGCAAAAACCATTAACAGATAAATTAAAAATAAAAGGCAAGGAATCAAAGCATACGACTAGCAAAAGTCACCTAACCACAAAGAAAGACAGTAAGAGAGGAAGAAAGGAAGTACAAACACACACACACACACACACACACACACACACACACACACACACACACACACACACACACAATTAATGAAATGGTAGTAGTAAGCCCTAACCTAGCAAAAAATTACCTTGAATATAAATGGATTAAATTCTCCAATCAAGAAACACAG